TTAGTATATTATGATACGACGCTTCAGTAATAATGATTTATGTATTACACGTCCATAATCGATCGATCGAATAATTTATGTGTCTATATATACGATACATATTATTCGCAAAAGGTTCTACCAGGATATTTTCCAAATTCACAATATCTTGTTCAAAAAAACTTCGAAATAATTGTAGAATACCTAATTTAATCTATATGTATATAAAATTAAATTTTTATATGCGAGCTTATAGGTAAATAATATGTATAATTATTATAAATAATATGAATATGGTTAATATATAATATAACGTCTCTACCCCACACACTCTTTGATTTTTTAATTAATTTTTTGATAATATTCACAATATAACTATTTTTATTTTGCTCTTCGTACAGCGAGCACTGAGGGAAATATTATATCGTTAATAAATTACAATTTAATTACGAGAATATCATTTGGTATGTAACAGTGTTTATTTAGTTCGATACATCAATTTTTAATATTTTTAATGTAGTTTTTGGCTCGACACAACATATAGAGAGAGAAACTAAGAGGCCAAAATAGATTTTTCTTAGAAATAAAATATTTAAATATATTGAAACCTATCTGATCTCTTTATACTGAGAGTTAATCCAACTTTTTAAAATTAAAATATAAAAAAATTATCGCTACATCATTATACCATTCAGTTTCAATTTGATAAAAGGTCAATTATTATGAATATTATTTGACCTAAAACACATATGCCACATAGTTGGTGCTAACGAAAAGTGAATCTGATTTGTTTCACATATTATATTATAAGCAGAGATAAAACATGAAGAGAAATGTCGTCTTTAAATATAAAGATTACATTGATAAAAATTAATTTGTGCTATTGCCAAGAGTAAAATTGTAGAATAATATTATAAATATTATTTAAAAATTTACAATGAAGGGTATTTTTCGTGAATATTTTGGACTTGGGTAGGTACATTTCTAAATCATGTAATGCATCATCAAAATAATCTACGATAAAAAACTGTTATTATGATATAAATAAAAAGTAGTACCTACCTAAATTAAATTTTAGAATTTGTATGTACATTTAAAACGCATTACCGCTAAAAGCTACATAGCAAAAATATAATTGGTATTATTTCATACAAGATTCCTAACTGCACCTTAATAATTAAAAATGAAATCGGTTTCGCGCGATAAACAAAATAATACATATAAATATACATAATAATGTATCGATTTCATCAGTCCGCTAGCGAGTGTACACCTATGCAATATCAAATTATAGATCAGAAGATGAGAAAATTCTCGGAAACAATGTCATCGGACGTGATGGGTTGGTTCGAGTTAGTTAGTTATAATAAAATAAACAAAATGATAAAACGCCCGTGAACAATAACAATAATTGTGTGTAACGACAATAGAATTATATATTATTATACACCGAGAGACGTCATGTTCCGTCGCGTCATCCCGGTTTCGAGTATGCCGTTTATAATATAAATGCGACACGATGACGGGAACGGGCGTCACCGGATTAGATTGGGCTCGTGCGATGCATAGGCGCCGCTGGTTTGGGAGCACCGTGTTGACGTATTCAAATAAAATATATATAATATTATTATATTACAATCACGGCCTGTAAACACGTCGCTTTTACATTTTTTATGGGGCCTGTGTGGTGCGAGCGGAAAAGCTCGTCGTATTCGGGCATTGGCGCGATGATGCACGTGCGACGACACGGCTATTATGTTTAATGGTACTGCAGTGCTAACGGTTTTATAGTAGATTTACACTTTAAAGCTCTAGAGCCGACGAAGAGTTTATCGGTTTACTCGGTACATGGGGCTATATTATCCGTTTAATTTTGTTTTACGCGCGCCGTCTTCATGAGAGTTGAACCGTCGAAGGAACCCTCTAATAGTTTTATACTGCACACTCAGCGATGTATATTATGCGACACGCAGTATATGGTAATGTGACACCGATAGCGCTTTGGAGAGGTGATTTTTAAAACCACGTGTGGTCTTAGAAAATTCGCAATGTAATTATTTACATTCAATTACCGAGGTATTTCGAAATTATTTATAACCGGTTGATGATTTTACTGTGCGGTTTGATGGCACTCTACGTCTATTATAATGAGTAGGTATAATATAATATATAAGTTATAATAGTACTATAATAATATACTATAGCACTATAATAATATTGTGACTCTAAGATTGGTATAATGATTCCATTTTGAACTTGGCGAATTGTGTATTCAATTAGTCTTATGAAGTCATCACGACTTTGATACCATTTGCAACGTTCGAGTTGGGTCTACACATTTGCAGCAGGGTGTAAAAATGGACACAGCGTGCAATTAATACTGTTGTGACCACAGTATTATAATATATAGTTGGTAGCAATTTACAAAACAGTCGCAGTCATCGACCGATCGAAACGGATGACGTTGAACACGGTTGTCGGGTGTGCATAATACCAACAGGGGAATGGCACCGGAAGACTCCGGATGTGTATGGTAATATTATAAAGGTGTATCTCATCGAAAGGTGTAAGCTCGTGCGAATCGGAGTGGCGCTGCTCGTGTTCGGATCACGGCGGCGGCGGTATTCGTGCCACCGCGCCCATATACAGTATACACTGTTTTAGGTACGCCGGCTGTATTGTACTGCTAACCGTCGAGTTATTAAAACATCAACGAACGCGGTCGCTCAGCGCTTGCGTTGACCGCGTTTATAATTAGAGTTCGTTTTAACTGCTATGGTGTTTATTGGCAAAATGTACGGCGGCGATGAAAAAATTACGCAACTGCGCGGCCGACGCGTGGTGCTTTTGTATCGATCGGCCGGACGGGAAAAATCGGAAAAATGTTGAAACCGAACAATCGAACGGTAACAACAACAGCTACTGCACCGGCACGAACGCGGCGCACCGTCGTTCGGGGCGCGGTTATCGCCGTTGCAGAGCCAAAATTCCGGGAAACCGTAGGAGCATAGGTGCACCGGCCAGGCCCGATACAATTATTATTATTACAATCATTATTTTAATCATCGTCGTCGTCTTCGTCGTACAGAGCGTCACATCCGGGGTACACGGCCGGGATATCGGAAAATAATAAAAATAATCTACCTGTAAACGATAGTGCGAATTGCGTCTGCACGCGTGTAATATTATGTTATACAGGGTGCTTCTAGAGTTTCGTGGCGAAACTGTTTACTGCATTACGCGGTGCGGTAGGTTAGGTATCAAAATTCGTAAATACTATCGTTACAACAAAATGTTATTATTTTGTCGTTGCCGGGGTGGCGAACGGGGTGTTACGTATCGTTATTGTTGTTATTGTTGTTGTCTGCAGCAGTAGCAGGAGCAGTGTACGAAAATTAGTAAACGGCGGCGGCGGCGGTCGTAAAAACATTGTCCCCATCGACGACGACCGTATTTTAATATTATAATATGGCGTATAATATATAATATTATTACAACCATCTGCTGCCGGTGTTGCTATTTACGCATACCGAAAGAGTATTATATTATATTATTCACACGGTGGTGTTGGTGAATAATAATAATAAATAATAATATATTATATTATTATTTCGTACGTTGTCATTCGTGTGTGTGTTTTAAATAATATTCAAACAACTGGCGGCGAACACACACGCACAATGAATGGTATATAATATGCACACAATACTCGGTGCGTCGCGTATTGGTTGTATTTCAAACGAAACGAAAAATTAACAAAGAAACGAAACTTGGCCCACGACAGGCACATCGGCGATCGTAATCAAACATAACATAATATCATGTATTATATTATTTTGAAATACGTTTAAATATGCGCGATCACGCGGCGACGGTGTTGCTATATGGTTGGGTACGGTGTATATGACACGCCGCCGGTGCGGGTTTGTGGGTGGCGAACGACGAATAACAAGTAATAATAATAATGGTACACATTATCGTCGTAAGACAATAGGTTTTGAGGGTGGACGGGACGGCGACGGTGTTCCGGTGAGGTCGCGGTGTTTGGGAGCTGTCGTCGTCGTCGTGACCGTCCTCCACAAGACTGCCTCGTAAAGAGTCTCCCTGTGTTATACGACAATATTGTAATGTACTCTATCGTCCTCGCATGTGTACTTGTAATATACTAAACGAGATTATATTATGCGGACCGACCGATAATCTGTGGTCAATGCGTTTGTATATAATATAATATGATAATGTACGCCACACGAACGATGATTATTATTATTCAAATCGCCGATAGATAGACCGTCTCAGGTTTCCCCCTTCGTGTGAGTCGCCGCAACGCTGTAATAACGCAACAGATTATCGTTATCGTTGTAATTAGTCAAAGGAGACGGACGGACGGACGGACAATCGGCCGTATTATAATAACGATTGTAATTTTATTACGTACACATTTTAATAATAACGAAACGCTCAGTGACGACGACGACGACTACCACCACCACCACCACCTCCACTTCCACCACGTGTGTAATACATGGTCGTCGGTAAGACCAAATACGACGACGATGACTACGTCGACCTTATTGTAAAAACAATGGACAGAGCGGTGACGGGGAGAGTAGGAGGAAAGCCGGAAAGCGGTCGAAACGCGAAGAACGTATATAGGTACGACGACGATGGGCGATCGGGCTCAGGCGGCTCGGCCACAGTGCGACACTCCTTTCTCTATTCTCCATATTATTATAATATTATTATACAACACGATATTATTTTATGCATAATAATATCATGTACCCGGTGGTTCTTCTTGTACGTTGTGGTATGAGCTGTGCCACGGACAAACCGTACTGATAATATCGTCGACCACTCGTTACCGTGGTCGACTGTCGACGAGACTACAGTCATGTGCGCACAACAATCCGTCTTCGTCGCCACAGCAGCAGCTGTGAAACGTGCTGTACAAGGATTGACATTGCGAGCGTTGTGTTTTTTTTAGGGTTTTTTTTCTAACCGTTTGCTGCGTCCGATATTCAACCGCACACACGCGTACGATAATAAATTCTATAATTTCGGAAAAAGCTTTTATGTGACTTGTCCCACGCGTCGTTGAACACATTACATGGATCGGGTGCGCGTAATCTTCGTTTTGCTTTCGGCGGCAGCGGACCGCAGTTCCAGTGCGAGGCAGCTGCTGCAACGCCTCTCCTCCTGCTGCAGCACACACATACGCACACACCCTCGTCGAACGCCTCTTCCGAAGCGGCCGCCGCCGTCGTTACTCTTTTCCGGTGCAACCACGAACGGCGGCGGCGGCGACTGTGTCGTTTCGGCGGCAGCTGCGTTGCAACGTGGACGACGATATTATGCAGTGGAGGCGACAATGACGCGGCCGTCGTTGGATGCGAAGTTGCCGCCTGCATCGGCTATTTTTAATACTCGAGTCCCCCCCAACCTTCATCCACGTCAACACGCGAGCAGGTCCACCTCCGAAGATTCATCACCGCCGTTGACGTATACAATTATTATAATAATACGAATATAAAAATGGACCCGTTCGATACTCACGACGAAAAGCGTCCACGTGGAGTGTACCCAACTATACATCGAGCGGGGTGGCGCGTATGAGGCCGATGATGAATTATTACGAGAGAAAAAAAAACCATCGGTCGTGTTTCGTGTATTATAATAATATTATGTATGTACGTTTTCTCAGATGCGACGAGAAGGTACAACTGGTACCTAATAATAATACACGGTAACTCCGAACGACGCCGGTGGCGGCCGCTCTCCGAGACCGCTGTTGTTTTCACTATAATATTAAACTATTTTATTGTAACATTAATTCGTAAATGATTTTGTATCGAATGTTATTATAATAATAATGTTACGCGAAAACGCGGCGACTGCGACGACGGTGGGCCACCGTTATTAGTTATTACCTACGCGATGCATTATATATTATATTTTGTACACAATCGAATAATAATAATAATAATAGCCGACTGCGACTACGACTACGACGACGACTACTCACTCTTCCACTCCGACCGTCGTGCCCTCGTGCCCGTTTCCCTAATATGGGGAGTGCCCTCCGGCGGCCATAAAATCGGGAAAAAAAAAAAATACAAAATATAAGCCCGGCCGGTCGTAAAAATACGCACACCCAAACCTAAAAAATACACGTATGTCGTGTACGTGTGCGTGTGTGTGTGTGCGAGCGTATAAAACAACGGGGACACACATTACTTACGTACAAGCGTTACATATTTTCACATGGCCGCCCAACAACACACTACATTACATATTATTATGAGACACTGGTCTGTGGGTAAGTGGGTGAATACGGGTAGTGCACGCGGCTGACGGTGGTGCAACGGGTACACAGAAATATTACCGCCGTCGCCGCTCGGCGGTGTGTGCACATCATTTTTTCCGTCGTGTTTACTGTTTTAATAACTGTCTGCCGAGAGTATATTATCGTCAATTATGTCATTTTTTTATAATATTATTGTCTATGCCGTATTGCGTGCTCGAGTATGTGGGTGGGTGGGTAGGTGGGTGGATGTGTGCCGCGAGGGTATTTATAGTGCCGTCCAGGTCTGCGCGAGATGGACGGATGGTCCGAGTCGGCGGGCCGAGACGCGCGCAATATCGTCGTTATCGCGTAATTACGTAGACGGGTCAACTTTAATAATATAATTATATGCCAACGGTAGTAGGTACACTCTCGGCGCACAGCTGTCTACCGTGCTACGCGAAAAACGATTACTCCACCACTGCCCGTCCACCCCCCCCCCCCCTCGTACTTGTTTGGCACGACTATAAGTCTCCGATTTTCACCAGCCACATACTACTATTTGCGCCCCCGCCTCACCCTGGTTTCTAATGCTGGCGAGTACTTAAATGCGTCTCTTTTCTTTGGCATTATTGTCGTCCCCATTCCTCGGCATTTTACATAATGATAAGCAACGACGAGAAAAAAAAAAACTATTATGGCCAGCCAAACTAATTACACAACAAGTACAAAGCGAATGAAAGCTACTTAAAATTATATTATTTTATTATCGTCGCACACGCCGATTGCGTACGTGCTGTGGAACGTCTACGGAGAAACCATTCAGCCTATAATACATAATAATATAGCCACCACGACACCACACGTTATTTAATAAAAGCGGCTCGATATTATGTGTGTGTGTGTGTGTGTGTGTGTCTGTAGTTTGGAGTTTGGACAGAGATGCACACATTACCCGATCGACGTTATATTATTGTTATTAATAGACCGGCGGTGGTGGTGGCGAGAGGATGAAATCTGCGGGCCGCTTGGGGTCGTCGACAGTGCCGTCGTCAGAGATTAGGGGAGACCCGACCCCCTTGTATTTATAGATCGACCCGTTTTGACGAGTTCCTCGTTTTCGCTCTGCACAGACACATACATCATATTATTTTACACACGAAACACATACATTATTGTACACGCAGAAAACCGCTCTCCCCGACCGTCCATCAGTCACATGGAAACGGGGGAAAAAAAACGCATTAGTCACTACGCACATATTATAATAATAATAATATACACGAGGCCGCTGCCAGAGCGTACATAAACTCTTGACATTTTAAACCCTGCAGCAGCGGCGGCGACGGTGGTGGTGGGCCCTTCGAGGACGCTTACTCTAATAAAAATAAAAACTAGGCTGGAGCGGCGGTGTAAAGGGGTGGCAGCGGCGGTTAATAGTCGTGAGTACGGCCGTCAAACGTGAAAGAAAGGGCGCGGCGACGCGCGGAATGGATTGAGCGCCCGTGTGTGTGAACTGCAAGGGACGCCGCAAGAACGCGGGACGACGGTTAAAATATTTTAATGTAGCCATTTAGAAAGGTAGGTAGGTCATAATAATATATTATAACAAAATATTACAAGACGGAAAATAAACGAAACGAGACCTCCCCGTCCCGATTGTCCAGTCAGGATCCGGTGAGAACCACCGCAGCCGAGCCGTTTGTAATAGGAACGCCGACGCGAGGCTAAGGATATTTAGATTATACACGGTTTGTCGTAATAATTTCCGTTAAGACTACCGAAAACCACATAACTTCGTATTAGGTACTATATATATATAGTCGTGCTATAACAACTACGGTCGTAATGTAATAATATAATATAATTTTATCGGTATGTACACTATACGTAACGGCAACAGCAGCACTGCAGCAGCAGCAGCAGCAGCAGCAGGTGTGCGTGTGCTGCAATAAATATTATTAGAATATTGTTTAAAACGCCTCCGACTACCGGCTGGAGCATCATTTAAAAGGCGCGATAACAATTTCCTCTAATAATAATATTGTGTTATACGCGTCGCGCGCACGCGTCCGCGCTGCAACAAACACGGCGACGGAGATAATCGCATTATGTAATGTAATTAACGTTGTATTGTGTACAGCAGTTTCGGAATTCGTGAGTTTCTCGGAAAGCAGCATAAAAAAGAACACTCGGTAGATGGGAAAAAAAACGGTGCTCGCCGCCCCGAGGGATCTCCCGCCGCCGCCCCATCAGCACCCACCTTACCCGCCGCGGATCGGGTAACCCGATATTATATTGTAATGCACAGACACGCCATAATAGGCACATATAAGTATAAAATTATGTATATTATTATGGGCATTGGGTATAGGCTGATGTGTTTCAGATACACGACTCCGTGAATCGTATTATTATTATAAATAAACCATAATATCGATACTCACAGACTCTGATCACATCGGCCAAAACGACGGAGGCTACCAACAAAAAGGCCGCCATCCTCGCGAAACCGCTGGCTCGTCTCCTCCGGGGGGTGGCCGCGGTAGCCACTACCGCCGCTGTTGTTGTCTCCTTGATAGTCATCTCTTCACGATGCCGGGAAAACGTACTTCTGAGAAAAAAACACACAGCAAGCTGTTAAATGAATGCGATACGGCTATACGAGTCAAGAGACTATAAAGTACAGGTATGTATGTGGGCATCGCGCGTGATATATATAATATAGTCGTCACCGTTGGTCTCGCCAAAGGTTTATAAGCACACGCCGACAATACCGTCTGCACTCGCCGACGACTCTTTTGACGGACGGGCAGGTGTTTTGCGCGACGGCTGTGCCGATCGAACACCTTGTGGGCGAGTAAACACAATGACAATTGAATAACGGCGACGGTAGGTACCACGCACAGCGGTGGAATAAATTTGGTTATTTATTATTATTATTATTTATTACTATAATTATTACTAAAACTATGTATGAACTAGGTATTATTATTGTCTGGTCTCGTACTTTTCCACCGAAATAACCGGCGCGAACAACCTCTGCAAGGACGCTGTAGAGCTGTCGGTATCGATGGTTCAGTCGCGCGCAACGTTGTCTTGTGGACGACTCGCAGACCGTCGCTGCACTTTAACCGCAACGTGCTTCTCCTCTGATGAGGTCGTCCGGGTCGACTACCGCCGAGCGGTGTACGTGTGTGCGCGCGAGAGCGTTACCGGTCGGTCGCTACTACTTCGGCGACGAAGTGTGCTGTGCGACGAAAACTACGGCCGGCGAGCGACCGTCGAGCGGACGCGGAAAACGAGGAAATTCGGACGGTTGTTTTTCCGCGTACCACCGTCGTTGACGTGGGAAATCTGATGGAAATCCTCAGGCGGAGTGCGGCAAAGACAAAAAAAAAAACAAATTAAAGTTTTTTTTCAATTAGGAGACTCGGAGCGTTTATTGCGATCGCAACATCGTCGACCGGCGAAACGCGACTTATGGTTGTTTTCGAACTACGCGATATTGTTTTATTTATTACACGTATCTAATAAACGACTATTGAAAAACGTTGATGGTATCACCGGCGTTGCTGCTGGACGACCGACTGCGAGTGAATGACTGGCTGGCTGCCGTGGAGTACGCAAAGTAGTGTGTAGCGGCGGCGTGCGTGGTTGTGCGTAGCACTCTATGGACAAAAAACCGTACAACGATAATCATTTCAAAACGCGGGCGTTGGATGTGCGCGTGCGGGCGAGACCCGATGCCGGCTGTTAGTCGTGTCGGCGGCGGCCGGTGAATTGCCGGCGTTTGTTCCGCGCGTCGAACGCGCAAGACGGGCAGGACGGGTCGGGGGGAGCGGCCGTCTAGGCGGGGGGTTGGTGGGTTATGGGGAACGGTCGTCGGGGCCGGGGTACCACCGCCGCCGATTCCTTCTTTCCGCGGTGATCGGGGGGATGAGGTATAGTGGGGGAAACGATCTCGTGTCGGTTGGCGCCCAACTGGCGGCCGCCGCCGCTGTTGCCGCTCGACGGCCACGGCGGCAGCGATGTCCCCCACCGTTATATGCACACTCACACTCGTCCGCGGATCGAAATGATAATGATAATAATAATAATAATAAATAATACCGAATTACCGACGGAGAGTCGTCGTTGTTCATCGAATACCCATACATGTCGGCGGCTGTTTTTTTCTTCTTTTTTTCGTATTAAATACGGCGAAACCTGTCCTTCAGCAATCTAAAGATGATCCCTGAATAAGAAACGATAAACCCAAAGACCACACAAATATGTAAGAATATTTCTTTGTCCCGCCGGTTTGTTTCTGTATATTTTTCAAATTTTTTTTTTTTTTTAAATATACAAACTTGGTTTGATTTGCACATTTAGTAGTTTATTAGGATATGAATATATTATAATATATATTACGAATATCATAATCACTTGCTCGAACACGTTACCCATTGCCAACGGTATAATTTTTATGTATCCATACAAAACCTGAAAACCTGGAATCTGGATAAGAAACCAAACCTTCCCAACTTGGAGTTGACTCTGACAAAAAAAAAAAACCCGTGTAATTACGTTAAAACAGACATTAATAGGTAAGACTAATGAATTAATTCGATGTTCTTTTTTCAGAGACGTCACGCAGTCACGCTCACGTTCAAATTTGAAATTTCTGTAATGAATAATGATTATTTACACATTACGGTCTACGACTGCAATAACAATTTACAATATATTATAATGTGTAATATACTAACATACAATAGAATAAAAAAAAAATAATATTGATGATAACATTTATTGGCCGATAATGAAGATGTATTTTGCCATTTTGGTACCACTCATTAAGACCGGAAAATTAGTACTAATGAAGTAGACTGCTATCTTTCGATTCCCGTATGTACTGATCTATATGACAATTTGCTTTAATTCACTTTCAGGGTTGTTGTGACAATACGTTAATACAATTTAAGTACATATAAAATATACAAATAATATGTGTGTTAAAAATATCAAAATAGGCACATTTTAATATTAAAATACGTACCTACTTAATGTAACCAGGGCTTGCATTTGAAAAAAAAAATTGCGTTTTATGTTATTTACAATTATTTAATTATTAAAACTTTATTCAACTTTTGCGTTTATTGTTTTTCAGAATTAAAAAGTTATCCAAGTTTTGCGTTTATCGTTATTTAAAATAGTGTTAATACCTATTAAATATAAAAATAATAACTAATGTGGGTAGGTAATGGCCCAGATAAGGAATATAATATAATCAATTCTTAGATTGTTAGCATGAAATAAATATTTCAACGAAACCAATACCTTTTAAATCAATAGATTTTAAAATATTTTGTTAATTGTTATGTTTTGTTTTTCGGTAGGTATTTAATTATTTTTCCTTTATAATTAAGGTTTAGAAATTTCAATATCATTTTTCGTCAAATATAACGTTATTATAACGTTTGCAAGCCCTAAATTTATAACGAATATACAAAATATTATATTAATATAATATTATTAATAATAATATAGGCCAAACTCATCTACATACGCTATCGCTAAAGCATATAATTTTATTGTATGAACATCACGTATTTATTTGTGTTATAGCAGACCTATCAGTGGCGTATACTGTCGATGGAGGGATAAGAGAATACGACAACCCCACTGACGTAGGTGTACTGTTTTATGTCTCGTTATATCTCTAAAATGACGTAAATTATAATTTATATTTATTCTAAATACTTGAGAACTCTTTACCATCAACTCAGTTTATCGTTGTGTTTAGTTTTCTTGATTTTATAATAAATATAATATAATAATATACAATAATACATAATGCCCCATTGTATATGTATTATGTATAGGTAGGTAGATAGGTATAATTTTGTATTATTATAATTTATAATGTATATAAGAAGAGCATAGTTTCTAATGCTTATAAATAAATAAATTATTACATCTATGTTGAAATAATAATACATTATTGATTATATACATGCAATTTTTATTGCAGCACTTAAATTGTGAACATAATTTCTCTACACTATATATTATATATAATAAAAAAAAACCTGGTACGATACTGGCCTATACGCTATACTGCTATAAGATAATATTAGAATACTAGTATATAATACTACATCTCGTACTACATATAGAGTTTATTATATCAAAGTATTCGTTATTTTAAGGTGAATTTTTTGTTCCCTTAGCAAAAATACCGTAAATGCAGTAGATTGTATAATAAACGTGGTTAAACATATACGTATTTTCAAATGTATAAATGATACTAAGCAAAAAAGCAGTATCAAACACATGCTAAGCAAAAAGGCAGTAACTGACCACGGTATACGGTAATTTTGCTTAGTATTGGCTCAAATACGGTATTTTCGTTTAGTATTGATAATCATTTTCTAGCCACACAATATCATATTATCATAGATTATAATAATTTATAAACATAGGCTATTAACCACGGTCTTAGAAGACCCCGCAGTTAACATTCTGGTTGTTATTAATTCTATGATTGTATTTGGCCCATCGACCATGATTATATTATATTATTTCATGGTTATGCCATTAATAAATGTGCTCATACTGCATTTTCCCTGTGTAAACAATAATAATAATGTCTCACAAGACTAAGCTGAAAGTACGTATATTCGTTTTGAGGTGTTAAGGGGTATCCTAGTGTTTATCCATGAGCTTTATTGGATTCTACAGGAATCTAGGTATATAAAGGAATTAAGTTTATAAAGGCTTAAGTTCAATAAAAATAATAATAATAAAAAAAACAAAATAAAACAACAAATAGGTAGAAATCATTTTTCTAGTTTTTTTATAAAATTAGTTACAATGTCATCGTTTTTTCAACGGTATATTTCTATGAATTGTCATTAAGGCTAATCTAGTTAATCGAACATTTCCACATTGGTTTCTTATATATGTTTTTAGTCTTTTAAGAGTTGAAAAACTTTTCTCTACACTTGCAGTAGTACCTAATTGGTATTGTACATAACATTTTCAGCAGAATATAAATATTAGGTAACAAATCAAATTGACATACTGATACTTTCACGGTCGTTAGAGCATTTTTAATAGTAACTAATAAAATATATTGTTGTTCTATTTAAAAAGACTGTAATTTCGGGGGGGGGGGAGGGTTGGCTGCAGCCCACTAGACCCACACCCTATGGTAGAAGTCTTAAATCAAAAATACAATATCAGTTGAGTCATCCGAGTAATTTGCATAGTATAAAAGTATGTGCCATCAAATAGAAAAGTAATATTGCAAACAACAGTAACGACTAACGCTATTCTATCGATTTAAATCTGGGTTTCATGAAGTTGTAATTTGTAAAGGCGGTAAATACCAATATTACTTATATGCATCATTAAACATATAATAATAATAATATGATAAAAACCAAAATAATGAGAATCAAATTGAAGTCTTACATCGTTACATGCATCGGCAACCTATAGATTGCAACAATTGCATTTACATTGTTACCATGTCTGATCAACGGTCTATGTCATAGCATAATATGGTTATCGTTGCATTTTCGATTGCACGCCTCTCGTTAAACGCGTCTTTCGTTTTTTTTTATTGGAATGTGTTCAGTGCTTTCAACTAGTCGGGAAACTCGTCGATGCTAAGTTTTCCCGCCGTCTCTGCCGTGTCGGCGTTGCAATTCCGTTTTAGACCGGTTTCACTGTTTTGCGTTGGATGTCCATTTATAAATCGATAGCGTGTGTCGGAAAGAGTGAGAGAGAGAAACGGCGCGGGCGAGAACGAGAAAAACCGTAACGCGTATTACGACGGATGGTGCACATGCGAGGGTGGAATAAAATAAGTGTATGGAGCAAAAATAGTATAATGGAGTGTAATTTATTGTCACGTATGGAGCGCCGTCTCCACAATAACAATAATAATAATAATAGCTGACCCGACCCGTGTCAACGATATAATAATGTAAATAAAAACGGGCACGCTAACGACGGACACTGACCGTCGGAAATAACTCGAGGCGGCGGTGCCCACTTTGAAATACCGCAGATACGTCAAAAATAATCGGCATTGGCGGCGGAAGTATACTTACCGACGGTGGTTTGTTTACCGCTGTGGTACATATATAATATAGTGATGTATAGTCGTTCTCCCGATGTTGGATAACACGAATTATATATATATTTAGGCTTATGTGCGTGTGTAATAATATATTATGTCGACTCCCGCATCCCGCACGCCAGGCAGGGATGGGCAAACTATAGTTTAATATTGAAATGTAACGGCGGCGGCGGCGGCGGTGGGACGGCCGACTTAAAAATAATATCAGAAACGCACGAGGGACCGATCCGGTGGTATTGCTCAAATGTTTTTGTTTTTGTGGATGTTTTACGGCACGACGGTAAACTATATTATTATAATAACGGTAAACGGAGTTCGTAAAAATAAAATAATTGTAATAATTATACATTATAATTATTCCAATATCATGTATCGCGGAAAAATCGATATTCAGACATCACGCACGTGCTGCAGTAGCGTAATATAATATATTACACTGATTTATTTAATACAGCCGTACAAAAAAAAAAAATAAAAAAAATAGCATTTAGGTATATTATTATAATATCTGTTGTAGTGTGTTTCTCACGGTTCTGAGTACAATATTATACAACGTGCATTGTAATTTTTGGACCGTGTTCGAGGCCAACTGACGTTAATATTTACCCGTCCCTGGCTGACTAACTGCAGTGCATAGTGCACACGCGACACATAATTAAAATATGTTTCTTGGTATATTATTTTGTATACACATTTCTAACATTCTTTCATATTTGTATAGTGCACGAAACTCATATAGTCGAGTATTTATGTTTTATACATTTTTGTCGTGTGTGCACGAAAAACATCTAACCAAGTGAAATAATAATATATTAACGTGTGTATAATATCCCAGCTTGTACTGCATATTTTAAATGGTCAACATTCTGGCCTTATGGGACATGAACCACTATACTTCGACGGTGTAGGACATAGGTAGTAGGTCAGTAGTCGTACTTTAGATATTCGCTGTGCCATGGTTTAATTTCAAGAGCACAGTTACAGTAGTATGGATATATACCTACTGTATATCTATATTACGTAGTG